TTCATGAATATGACTCTGAGTTAGTAAGGTGCTTTGTGGCCAGGCCATGGAAGCAGTTGTTATAACCAAGGTCACCTGCACAACTGCAAGAACCGGCTGCTAAAAAATCCTTCCAAAGGTGGTGGGCACCAGCTCTGCTGTCACTGAGCTCAGGCTGGCTCCTGAGGGGTTATGGCATGGGCTGAAGTGGTGAATTCATTCAGCTCAGTCTCAGTAGCTTGGCTTAGCTCTCTCCACAGCCTAGCTCACACAGTATCCACGAGACTGAAATCTCAGCTCTGCTTTGCCATTCCTGTTGTCCTGCCACTTCATCCCCCAGACCAGACTGACAAACAGCAGTTCTGGAAGGACACAGCTCATGTAGGCACATGCACAAGGGTGATTTCAAGACGTTAAGCATTTTACTGAGGTCTCTTTTACCAAAATATGGGACTTGGGGTAACCCCCAAAGCACCTGTAAGGACACAGTCTGCACAGAATAAAGGCTGGACAAAAATGACAAAGCAGAAGGAAGAAGAAAAATACCCAGAGCTATTAAATACAGTCTTCAGAAACAGGTATTGCTCCTCAGTAGGTTAGAAGATTTCAGGTTATCTCTCTCTTTCTGATGAAAGCTCAAATAAGTGATTACAGAACAAGTGTTAGAAAATACACAGAACAGACACAGTGTCCTTGACTGGCAACACAGGACGTAGAAAATTCAGCTCTCAGATGCCATACTGGGAGTGTTTCTCAATGCCACCACTAAGAATAGGATAGAAATAATTCAAACAATTGTGAGGAAAGGGAGTTAAGGAATATCCTCTTATTATCCTTAGTAGAACAAATCAGATGCAAACTACAAGCCAAAGACTCCAAGGATCGTTTAGGGATCCCATAAGAGCTTAAGGTAGGTGCAAAACCAATGATCCCCTTGGGAGGAAAAAAAATTCCAATGCATTAGGGAAGAAATAACAAGAAAAAAACAACTGAGATTCCTAAGGAAGCAAATCCCCTCTGGTGGCACAGAAGTAAAAAAAAGAGTTTTCAGCTATACTGATGGACCAATCCCCTGAGGTGTTAAAAAAGAAAACATTTCAAGGGGAAAAGAAAAAAAAAAGGCAAGAGATATGTTTTTTCTTCCTCCTCACATTCTGGCCTTTGTGCATGTTGAAAAAATAAAACAGAAGAAAAAGCAGCAAAGATTTTTTTGAGACAAAGTAGCAGCATACAAAATGCCTCCCAATAAGAAACATGACAAAGTTACTAAAACTTTTTATGCCATCACATTAGAAAAACAGCAAAAGTGCAACCACAGAACATTGAAGAATGAGTTTCACCCAAAGAAAAGCTGAACAGCAGGAGCTTTTCTGGCATATTTTAGTTGAGTGTACACATCCATGTCACACCATCACTTCTTACTTAAAAACAGCTGCAGAAGGCTCCTGCTGCGGCCGCTGCCGTTAGCTGAAGCTCTGATCTTCCTGTCTTCATACAAGTCATCAAGCCACATTTCCTGCTGGAATTAAAGTGGCAGCCCCTAGGGACTATGCAGCTACCCAATTTATATCACAGAGAATCCGAAGCAAGCACCAGGATTTTTCTCCAACTGCTTAATTTTTATTTATTTTTTTGCAATCCCCAAGTTCTAATAAGAGTTCTTCTGGGCATTTGCCTTTTGAAGGAATTACAAGAAAACATAAAGACATTTTAAGACCTGTGCAAAAAAGCTGAGAGCAGGAAAAACCTGGGGGCAATCTCACTGGCATCAAACCAAGCATGCCTTGGATACCTATTGCAGCCATAGCAGTTACATACAGATGGTACAGATGGTATATGGATACTATGAGGGGTATTTATAAAACAACAAAAGCTGCAGATCATGACACACAAGTATTTTGGCTCAGAGTAAAAATAGGAGAGCAATAGGAAAACTGTCCCGGCCAAGTGCTCAAACTACCTGGTGCCAGGCAAAGACAGCTACAAGGTCATTGCTAAAGATGCAGAAATGCAGGCAACTGGTTTTTGTTCTGCACTTCTGCAGGACTTAACACAGCAAGAACCAGGTCAATGGAGTGTTCCTAACAGCTATGATAGGTTATGATAAATAAGACTTTGGAGAAGATCACATAGCATCCCATTAAGTAGTCTCTGTAGTTAAACACAGAAATCCATAACTCAAAGAAAGTCTTATGTTACCAGACCACGCTCCTTAGACATCAAGCAGGGTAAAAAGCAGTCTCTCTTGTATGTGATTTTTTTTTTGTTAAAAAGTCTGTCATAAATAATATCAAAATCAAGGCAAAGTTGCTCTACTTCAAAACCAAGGATCATAGAAGCCTACAAAAGTAATAATTTTTTTTTCAAAGAATGGAAAGCAAATCAAACTACAGCATGTTAAATTAGGCATTAGAAGGGCTCTCAGCCACTTCCAAAATTACTTGAGAGCACATTATAATTAGCAAAGGTATGTGACAGTTTTATACCCCTCTATGATGCATGATTAAAGCCAGGCAGCCCAGTCCTGCGCACCGTCAAAACAGATGTGACAAGAACTGCAAGCTGCTCCCAGACAGACTGTGAGAAAGCATAGGCAGATAACATTTTGGCCATCAAAGATGTAAGACCCGACACAAAACTAATTAAACCTCAAAACCCCTCAGAGAGGTAGGAAAACTGAGGTTTTATGAAGCATCCCATGCTTGAGCTGCAGTGGCCCAGCCCGAGAGCAGGCATGAGAACAAGCTCCTGCCTTTCTCTCTGAGGTGCAACAAGGAACAAAAATTTACAGCCTTGGTAGTAACAGCTCACAGCCTCAGCACGAGGAAGCAGGGCACAAATGCCTGGAGAGATGCTGCAGTAACACCACCAGGATGATCTGTGACACTGCTGATTTTTCCCACCAAGACTGATACCTCTTATCTGTCTGCAGCAGAGAGGTATGGAGTCCTGGGCCACTGTGAAAAGCCAAGTCTAAACACCACACAAATCCTGCCTCTCACATCTGCATGGTATTGTCTGCTCAGCACTCAAAATATCAATTAGAGGCTCAGCTTCCTACCACTAACTGTGGAAAAACAAGGTAGAGAGGGAAAAACAAGCTGTGCATCAGCCAAGGCCTATGCCTCTTGAACTGAGGTTAGAGGGGAAAAAAGGTGTTGCAAGGAAACATGTAAGGAACATGGAGAATTTTAGGCTTTTGGATTCCACAGTGGGTTTTTAAGTGTGAAACAGTGTGGCAAGTTTGTTTCTGAGAGGTGTTTCCAAGCCATTACTTTTATTCTTATTTATCTTCAGATTTTCATATTTAGACCTCATCTTAATGCTTCTTCCTGCATGACATCCCTCTGCATACAGCATCTTTCCCTCTTGTTTTTAGGCAGCTTTCCCATTGCTTCCTCTGCAGTGCTTCAGAGCTCACCTCTTTAACATCCCAGCAGTTTCAGGCAGTTTTCCTGATATATCCTTTAAGCCATTCCCACCACATTGCCCCATCTCCTCTGCAGAAATTTCTTTCCTCATTATCCCCATGCCCACGAGGTAACCCCTTTTACAGGAGGCTGCAGAAATGGTGCAGCTGGTTTCTCCTTCAGGTACCTCAGGTTTTCCCCAGCAGTGTTTGGGTGAGGCATTTGGGAGTTTGGTTTTGTGTTTTGTTTGTTTGTTTGGGTGACAGACAGACAACTTGCCAGTGTCCAACTGATCCATGATTCATCCCTGAATTTTCTTAGTTAAAAGAGTTGCAAATGGGGAGGCAATTACACAGTGCAATCACTCAGTGGACACTCTTAGATCTGGAGAGTTTTGGAGAACCTCACAACCTCACAAAATTCATGAATTTTATCAAAGACAAATCTTCCACTGCTGCTACAAGGGTAAGCTGGTTCAGGTGGGCAAAACACTTAAGCCTCTACTTTCTGATGGCTTTGGCATGAAGAAATAAACTTGCTGCATGTTTACAAGCAGGTATATATTGCTCTGTGGCTATTTTGATGAAGAAGATACACATGACTGCAGACCCTTTACAATCAATCATTTGGAGATAGTAAAAGCAGTGCAAAAAATTTAAAAAGTTGCCTGGTTCAGCTTCTGATATACCCACTGGTCCTGAATGTCTATGCAGCAATGAAAGAGAACTTAATTAAGTGGCATATGCATATATAAATCAACTACATAGATTTTGTTGAACATAATCAGTTAATTAGAAATAGAGTTTTCAATGCAAGCACCTATGGTTCTGCCTATGCACTGGCCTAAACCTCTCCACAACAGGGGGATCTTAGGGAGCAGGACTGCTTCCAAGCAACTGCACGTGTTGCCAAGCTGTCTTTGTCCCCACAATTATGCTTTGTTAGTAACATGATTCACAAAAGAACAAATAAAACACACTGCAACAAGCCTTTGCTATCACTGGAAGCACATTTTGCTGTGCGAGGCGAAGTCCTCTAAAGAATGATGCTCTGCAGATGTCTCCATTTGGGAGGCTGCTCTAGTGGACACTGAAAAAGTGTCTCTGGATGTCAGAAGAGAAGATGTCAAATCACTTTCCAACATCCTGAAGCTGAAGTGATTCCAATACTTCTAAGAAAATAATCACTGTTGGCCCTATGTAAAGCAAATGGGATCTTTCATGCAAGTGAGGTGTGTGCAGAGCCCCAAGTTTTATGCTATGCAACACATACAAACGTTGCAAACATATGTGATGACTTAATATCACTAATTTGACCAAGCAGAGTGCAGAGCATGGCAGCAGATGTGAATGTTCACTGTGTCACCAGTGCTACAGCAGAGCACCAAAGACTCCTTCGCACGGCATCTGAACAAAGGGCTTTGCTTAACGGCTCTGTACAATTAAAAAGCCTACAACTCAACCCAAGAGAACCCGAATTCCCTTTCACTCCGTGAAGCATCTGGCCTGATTGCTGGTGCCATGTCATCACTCGGAAGCCGTGAAACATCCCGCCACCGTGTTAATTAGCTCCCCTTGCAGAGGGCTCCAGCCACAGAGCCAGGTTACTCACGTGATGTCTCTGCGCTGATAGCAACCTTGAAGAAGGCAAGCGATCAGGTCGCTGATGAACTCCACATCATCCCCGTGAAGAGCAGCTTCCAGTTCCTAATGAGTAGAAAGGAGAGAAGAAAAAAAATAAAAATCCAACCATTAAACGAATTCCTTAAAATTCCTGCTAGCTCATCTGGACCAAACAGTCTCATGTATGTGTACAGCAGCAGAGCACATATGGGGTAAACTGACCTTCCTCATCATTAAAAATACTGCTTCTACTGCCTCTTCATTGCAAGAGTTTATGGGAAGACCTTGAAAGGTTTTTACTGAATGTCACTCTCCAGCCAGAAGACTAATGCTTTTGTCTGGACGCAGAAAAATAGGGTTCAGTGAGGTTGAGATACACTACAGCCTAATAAGAAAGGCATGATTTCTCTCATGTTCACCTGATGGGCAGGAATCAACAGTTTCATTCTTCTGCTTGCCTCCACTCACTGAGGCTGGTGAGCTCAATTTAAAAGATGTGCTCAGAAAGCAGGGCACTAAAAGCCACTTACAACCCAGAAGGAGCAGTTTCAGATGGATTGCCAGAAATGGCTGAAAGCAAGCAAGCAAATGCCTCAAAGAAAAGCAGGCATTCTGATTATTTAACTTACTTCTTATACACTTCATTTTTTTCCCAAGTCCAGTAAGAGAGAAAGGATGGAGGGATGTCAGATTTTGTGACCCAAAATCTCAATCCTCAATGGAGAATATCACGGCTTATTCTAGCACAGCAGAGTTCACAAAGATGTGATGCAGAAATTGATCCACAAGAAGGATAAACTCCTGAAATTTAGTTATTATGAATTTTGCACCTATTGTGAGAAATATCTTTTTTCAGCTAGCAGTTTCAAGCTTTGTTTTCCAAATATCATGTGGTTAGTAACAGTTTTATTTGCATGCCAGAAAATTATTCACAGTAAGAAAAATCCACTTTCTCAAAGACTTATCATCACTAGCATGCAGCATTTAACAAGATTTAATATGGATAAACAATATAGGCATAAGAAGCTATTCTTTTTGGGTTTCAGAGTAAATAATGGATTGAATACAAATTCCTACTTGAATGTTACTCAACAGACTGTTACACAAATAGCTAAGCTAATGGCTACAGAATAAAGGTTAATGGCCAGAGAATAAAGGATAAACGTTTTGGCACTTACCCAATAAAGAAGAGAAAGTGCTTTTTTTATTAGACCGCAGTAACTGCAGTAATAAAATTATTGATAACAGATTGCAGCTTAAATGCCGCTTGTAGTTTTTTATTGGAAATGTATTAATGGCATATTTTCATTACCAACACTGCTCTTATTTACCTCTTGTGCAACATGCAAAGTGCTTCAGGAAGCCTGACACCTGCCCTGTGAAGAATGCACTAAACACATCAATTGCACATGAAAACTGGAGGTAAGGAAAGGGCAGTGTGCAGCCAAAGCCTGCTGTCCCTGCCACAGAGACAGGGAAAGGACCAGCAATCTCTGTTCTCTGCCTCTAGATGAGCACCCTGCTTAATGACAAGTTAACACAAAATCTACAGTTGCTGCTTGCCATCCCTTGGACAGAGTGATATTATTGTTGTATAAATAGTAATCATGTTATATAAACAGTAATTACCGAGTGAATTCACTGAGAATCACTGAGACTCAGACTGAGCCCTGCTCCTGGCCCTGCATACCACCTGGTAAGTGGCCAGTATTTTAGAAGTTGACTTTATTTGTAAAAATTTTTAGTGGACATATGCCTTCTATAAGTATCCCTGGAGGAGAGGGGAGCAGGGAGGGCCTAAAGCACATGATATGCTAAACCATCCCAGGTGTGTTACCACATTACCACAATAAACCTGCAGCTTGTGAAAAATGACATGTCAGAACCCACAATGATGGGCAGGGGGAAAGTAAGTCTCCAGGATGCCTCCCTGCATTCAGCCTCTCCCTCATCCACATACACTTGTTCATTAAAGCTGTCAGTCAGCAGCCTGCCCCTGCTAGGATGTGACAGCCTTTTGTATGGAGGAATATTTAAACTGCTTCCCGTGAGCCTTTTCAGCCTGCTGTTTGACTAACACTCCTTAAGCAGTGGCCACAAGTGCCTCAGATAGCCCCTATCTGCAGCCATTGTTTTCCAGAGTGACCTTTACATTTTTGGAGCTGGCAGGTCACCCCAGGAGCAGGGGGGCATTCCTGGGGCACTGGGCAAGATGCCATCTCCTGGGCAGGGACTAAAACACCTGGATGGGCTGTTCTCCCTGCCTCTCCTCCTGCTTTCCCCCTCCCAGAAGGGTGCTCCTTGTCATTGTCTCCATGGCAGGCGTAGCACAAATTTTGGGGATCCAACCCAGACCCAGATGGATCTCACAGCCACGGGATAAAAGGGGCTCTGGATGCAGAGCCCCAGTGCCATGCTGGGTGAAGGGGCTCTGGAACAAGCCAAGATTCATCAGCACACACAGCATGGGGCCAGTGAAAGCCCATCCCTGGCAGGCATGAGCCTGTTGGTGTTTCTGTAGAAAGACACTTGCATGGTGCTCCCCAATATGCCATGGGTGCTTCCTTGGAGCCCATCCTGACCTTCTGCTCCCTGCCAACAGTAACATTCAGTGCCAGAATATGACAGTAAAGGCACAGTCCAAGTATTACTGTGATTATTTCTCTTGGAAAAAAAGTCACTGACATTGTCCTGTAATGTTTCTGTCTACATTTCAACTATTGTTGCTTGTGACAGAAGAGTAAGAGCAGTGAGAGGAACCTGATGAATGAACACAGGGATTGAACAATGAACCCAGGGCTGGGTCCATCTGTTTATCTGAATGTCATGATTTTCTATCCCACTGGATTCTCCAGCTTCCGGTCCCAAAACACCTACATTCTAGACTCTTCCCACACACTCAGAGTGCTGTGGGAATGACAGACACACTAGGAGGATGTGATGCAAATCTGAACATCTCAGGAACACAAACAAAGAACTAGTATCCCTTCAGGTTTTCACCTAATGCTTCAGCCCACATTTAGCAGGAGGATTTTTCCAGCCTTCTCCCTCCAACAAGGGACAGCCAGCAAAGCAGCACACTGCTCAAGCAGCACATCTAAACAGAGGGAGATGAATTGATGCCAGGGACTCTCAGGAGAAAGAAGCCACTAAAACCCCCCTGGTCCTAAGGGCAAACCCTGCCTCAGTAACCCATCCCCACACTCCTCCAGCCTGGCCAGGACCAGCAGCTCAGCTTCCTCCCCGCCACCATCCTCCCCACGCCTCCAATCCTTTTGTTTTTCCTCTTTTCTCTTTGAGCACTGAGCTGTGAGCACAGAAATCTGAACCTTGCCAAAACGCTTTGGGGACAGCACAGAAAGGAAACAGAAGAGGCAGCAAATCAGCAGAGGAAAAGGGGGGGACACACATCTCCTCCTCCTCTAGCTGGAGAGAGCAACAGACAGGAGAAAAGCAGGATTCTCCCCCTCTCCAGCTGGCGTCACACCTCATTAGGGAAAAGCCTGTTTAACGTCTTTCCCTCCCCCCAGCCCGGTACTAAATCCCCCCTGAGTCAGGCAAGGACTGTTGGGAAGAGGCAATCGCTGGAGCAAGGATGGGAGCAAGGGTGACCACCTCTCCCAGGAGGAGCACTGGCCCAAAGCGGGGCCAGCAGGGTGGCAGGAGGCACCAGCCCGTCCGTCCCCACTCCCTGGGGACCCCACACCCAGCACTGGGCAGGGATGGTTAACCCCACTGGCTGAAACAAACGCTGCTTTGGATGCCTTTTTGATATCTGCCCGGATTTTTGAGAGGGAGGACAGTGAACCTTCCTGATGAAAGTAAACAAATGAGTCCACAACAGCGACACCACTGTCGCCATGGGGTGACCACGGGGCTGTGGAAAGCAGCCAGCCAGCCTCCAGCTCCTGCTCCAAGTTGACTGTGCAAAGGGCAGCCTCACAAAGCTTTGTTTCAGAAGACAGACGCCTCCAAACCTGCAAGAGCTCAGTGTGAGCAGGCTGGGTGCTGAGGTACAGCACTACAGTTTAGAAGTTTCTTCTGGAGCTGAATCATCTATAACTGAATGTGATGGACATAACGAGTTTAAGCACAGCTAAGCCTTGTCCAAGTTAGCCATCAGTTTAAAAACCCCAATCCCTTCAGCTCTATTTCCATACAGCTGCCGTTATCAGCTTTCCATTGCAATGCTCCAAAGTGACTCAACAGGCTTTAGGAGATCACCAAAAGCTACCAGCGGGACGTGCTGAGCCAGCCCCAGCCCATGCTCTGAAATTTCAATGCTGTCACCAAGTCAAGTCAGGATGTTCTTTTCCCCTCACAGATAATAAATGACAACAGGCATCTGGGCAAAAGTTTGGCAAACACGTGCCAAAGGGCAGTGGGATTGGGCAGGAAGATGGAAAGTCAAGTCCAAGCAGCACCATTCTATGTGAAGTCAGTGTGCTCAGCTCCTAGCACCTTCTCAGAATGCCTGAGGGAACCAAGCCCCCACCCAGCAGGCTGCCTGCAGCCCAGTGCTGTGTTCTCCCTGCCTGGGATCCCTGCCATCATATGGAAATAGTTTCCAAAATATGAAGCCTACTGAGAGTGCTCTGCACGACAAGGCAGGAGGGCACTGCAGGGCATTAGGGCTGTTCCTAGGGCCAGGGTACCCTACAAGGGCAAACAGCAGTGGGTTTAGCTGGCTGCCATAAATTCAGAAAGAAGTCATGGCTCCTGGTCCTGCTGGAGTCTCCCAGACATGCCATCTTAAGTGGCTGCTGGAAACACTGTGTTATCCAAATGGGCAGCTGGATGCACCTCTCCCACCTTCCCCAGAGTCCTGCAGGAGCCTGCATGCTGCCCTCTCTATGATCCTCCAGGGCTTCAAGGTTTCCTAAGCTAAAAGGATCCCCAATCTCTTCATTCCGCCTTTCCACAGCAGGGAAAATGGGTGCTGAATGCCCTCCCTGTGCTGCTGGCAGTGAGGATGAAGTCAGCAGCTGCCTCAAGGAAACACCATCATCTTCACCTCACCCTCAGGACCACAAGCTCAGAGGGAGCCAAGGGGTGTGTGGAAGGGGTTAATGACACTCATCACC